GAGAGCTATGCTAAATAAATAAAATAGGGCATGAACTGATTAGAAAAATTGATCACATTATATTTACAATAAAAAAAGGCTTAGGTTGAGGGAGTTTTAAGTTTGGAGTTGGATGCAAGAATTCAAGTATACCTAACCAATCTATTAGACAAGGGTCTGCAATAGTATTTGTAGAAAATAAAGGACAATGCAAACAAAAACTTAATGATATCTCATCAAAATTCAAATAAACTAATAAAAGACTTTAAAAAAAAAGATACCCACTAAAACGTGCATCAACATTAGTAGATATTTGTATTTGAAACTTTTTTCTTCAAGCACGATATTGAAAAATTATTGATAGATTAATTATTGATTGTGCTTTCTCCTCAACAACCTCCTAAAATTCATGAAGCGTACTCTAACTGCCTGATTGAAGAGGAGTAATATTTAGTTTAACCAGCAAGGCATCCTCCCATAGGTAATAATTGCAAGCTGCATGGTCCTATTTGAAAACATATTCTTTTAATTACATAGAAATGAGTGATCATAAAGTTATCGTGCATAAAATCTATAGAAGGGAGAATTCATTCAATAAATTTTTATGAAGCAATGGAAATCATTCACATAGCATACCCCTCTGATTGGGCAAGCAAAGAAACAATGACACTCATTTTCGCTAATGGTCTATTTCACTTAGGTCATCATTTGCTCCACCGTCAACCAATTATAAGGCACTCTGAATCAGCTTGACACTCAATGCTGAAGAGTCATCGATCACAAGTAATTCGATTAGGGCACCGTGCAAAGAGATAGGGTTATCTTTCTCGAAATTTGTTAGTCACAACTCGCTCACATCCACATTATTGTTGATAGTCCGTTGGAAACATTCCTTGCTGTCTTCTCTCGTTCAACTCGTATAAAGAAACTAAGCACAAAGTGGTCTTTGTTTTCAAATTGCTTTGTTATGACAGGGGCATTTTGGTCTAACTAGAATTTGTTAAATGAATAAAATATAAAATTTGGTCTTTCAAAAACATTTGATCCCTAGGACCAATTTTCTTTCCAATCTGGTCCTTTTTACTAGGAGTGTTCACGGGACGGGACGGGACCGGGACACCCCCATCCCGTGTCCCGTCCCAAAAAAAATATCGGGACTGAATTTTGGTCCCGTGTCCCGTCCCGTCCCGAAAGTCGTCCCGTCCCGTTAAGAGTCGGGAAGGGACCGGGACAAGATCGGGACATCCCGCCGTCCCGATAAATGGAATAATGTGAAAAAAAAATCTGAATAATAACGTTTTTTAAAATTTTAAATTATATAATTTATTAAATTTAAAATCAAAATAACGCAAGTACATAAATAACAATAATTTAAAATCAATTATTGAATTATATTAATCACAACTACATATTATAATAAAAAATGCAAGTGATCTTTATGCTATAAGATTAGCAACAACAGGCAAATCAAACACAACATTAAATAATTATTTTTCTACTTTAGTGAAGATGTATTAAGCCAATTACTCTTCTAAAAATAAGTAAGAAATATGTTATAAAGAAAATTTATTAAATAGATAGATATAAGAATAAATTATATTAATATAATTAATATATTATAAAGAAAGATATCACCATGTTTACTCCATGCCATTAAAATTATCAATATAAAAAAACTTTAGTTTTAAATAAGAATTACAAGTATTAAAATTATAATTGATATAATTAATATAAGTATAGATTATGTTAATATAATTAATATATTTAAAATAAAAAATAATATATATAATATTCGGGACGGGACGGGACGTTCCGATGGTAATCCCGTGTCCCGTCCCGTCCCGCACTCCTTTCCTGTCCCGTCCCGTAAAGTCCCGTCCCGATTATTTTCGGGTCGAGACAAGACCCGTCCCGATATGATCGGGACGATACCGGGCCAATCGGGACGGGTTCGGAATGAACACCCCTACTTTTTACCAATTATTCCTATATTCTAATACTAGAATTAAGGTCCTAAAAATCAGATTGGTCATTTAATCGATTGAGATAATGGTTTAAGAATTAGTGGTCCAACTAAAGTTAACCTAGAATCAGATTGGTCACAGTTAAAATAATATAATTTGATTAAATATACAAAAATATTCATATGAAATACCATAATATTTAAATAAAAGTCATTGATTCTTAAGTAAATAAAAAATTTATCAATAAAATCTTATGTACTTCCTCTGGTTCTTATTATATGACACTTTCAACCATTTCACACATACTAAGAAAAATTAATTTTTTTCTTGATATCATAAAAAAAATGAGATGCACTTTCATTTTTACCCTTAGCTTTAAATAATATTACAACTATATTAAATACTTTCATGCTAATTAAAAAGGGGTAAAATTGAAAAAAAAAGATTTAATTATCACAAGATATTCTATATTTTAGATTAAAAATTACTTTTAGAAGGTGTCTTATAAATAGAACTGGAAGAGATATGTCTTATAGAAATAATAATTATAAGTTTCTAACAATAATAAAAAAAATCATTAAAATTATTAATTAATAAATTTATATTTGATTTAGGGTTTAATATTCAGAGGAAAAAAGGAAAAAAAACAAAAGAAAATAAAAATAACAAAATTTAACCCAAGTCAACCCATTAACCCACCAGGTGGCTGGGTTTGACTGAGTTAAAGTCAGGTCATAGGTGACTAATCTTCTCAATCAATCAAATTAGCTAGATAACTGATTCATCAGTTTATGGGTCAACTTGGCTAAGTCGGTCTAGGTTTACAAATAATGACTAGTATTGTACTCAGATTTGAGCTATTTTATTATTTATTATTATATAAAACGTGAACATTGGTTTTTTTTAAATATCCCTAATCCCTTGAGTCGTGTGTATTGAAAATTAACTTTTTCTAGAATTACTCCTTTAATATACTCCATTCGTTAAAAAATATAAAACATTTTTAACTGAATTTTTTTTTCTAATAAAGTAATTACTTGTCTTCAAACTAATTCTATCTTTTTATATTTATCTCTATTTAATAGGATGTTTCACCCTAAAATAAATATAAAGTGATTTATTCAATAAGGGTACTTTTAAAGATAAGGTAATAATTACATCTTAAAAAACTAAAAATATCTTATATTTTTTAACGAAGTGAGTATTAAAGTAATAGAGATAACTTGGTGCATTTATGACGATTAAAGCTTTACATTCATGACTAAAATAAAATGATTTCATCGGTTAAAAATAAATAATAGATAGATAGATAACAGAGAGATACCAAATCCATGGTTTATTAAGACATGTTTATGTTTTTTTTAAATAAAATGTTTCGTAATATAGTTTTTAAAATTATTTTTCAAAACAAAACAAAATAAAAATTTATTTGATTATGTTAATTTAAAAACAATTGTAGAATTAAAAAATAGGTTAAGAATAATGATTGCAGACGATTAATAATAGTGATTTATGATAGAAATTAGTCAAGTTAACTATATTTTTTAATAATTAAATGTAATGTGTTTTAAAAACAAAAATAAAAAATAAAACAACTTTAAGATATTTCTATTTTTTTGTTCTTAAAAACAAAAAATATAATAGTTGTAAAAACAATTGAATCTGAAATACTTAGGGTCTATTTGGTTTCTGTATCCATTTTTTATTTTTAAAATTTTTTTTGTAATATAGTTTTTAAAATTATTTTTCAAATAAAAATCCATTTGATTATATTAATTTAAAAAAAATTTAAAATTTAAAATAGACTAATATTGATGGTTATAAGCAATTAATAGTGATGATTTATGATAGAAATTAATCAAGGTAACTATAATTTTTAATAATTAAATATAATGTATTTTAAAAATAAGAAAAATAAAATAAAAATAACTTGAGGTTGTTTCTATTTTTTATTTTAAAAAAATAAAATATTTTTGAAAACAATTAAATCAAAAACATTTATATGAATAAATTTTAAAAAAATTGTTTTAAAAAATAATTTTTTTAAAAAAATATGGATATACTTATAAATTATAGAAATTTATATATTCTATTGAAAAATGTGAGAAATGTTTTCAAAAATTAAATGCTAAAAAATATAAGATATTTTTAATATTTTAAAGTATAATCTTTTTACCTTTTTCAAGAAGTGTCTTTAATAAATGAATAATTTTATATTTATTTTAAAATAAAATACTTTATTAAATTAAATATGAATAAATATAAAAGAATAATACTAATGTAAAAATAAATAATTATTTTATTAAAAAATAAAATTAAATTAAAAATATCTTGTAAATAGAATAACTTGACATAATTCACTGTGTCGTATTCGTATTAATAATAGACAGAAACGTACGGTCTACATAACAATTAATGTCAGAACCGGTGAATGGTACGGTAGATGAAATGGAGACACAATCCTGGATCCTGACATTGCCCCATTATTTATTTGCTTATTTAATTCATTTAATGGGAAACGGTTGATTCTCTCTTAACCGTGACAGTGACTGTGTCCCTGTAGCACAGCTGCACAAGACATGAGATTGAGATTAGTGGTCCATGTGTCATTGCCTCAATGGCCTGCTATACATTCCCCGACCTGGAAAACAAAAACAAAAGCAAAAGACCATATGAGTCAAAGGAAAGATGGAGAAACGGGGTTTCATTTCGCAAAGAAAGAAAGGGAAACTATTTGTTATGACATTCATTATAATATGCATGATACGATATAATTATTGCTTAATGATCTTTACTTTTACTTTTACTTTTATTTTTGAGCAAAAATACAAACATTAGTCTACATTTATAAGAAGTTTTAACTCATTTTAAAATAATGATCCTGATCATGCATGTCTATTGTTTATTCTTCAACTACAAGATGCATGTAATTTAGCTCTTGTAATTTATCCTTCTCTAATGATATGCTGATCTCAATATCATCATTCGGAGAATGGGAATCTCTAGTTAAGTTTGGAGTTCACTGCAGTGGCAGTCTCTCGTAAACAACACAAGATATACATCTACAACATCTCTTTCCCTTTTCCAGCTCATAATCATTCTAAACAGAAATACTTGCTATAGTATTCCTTCAAGAATACAACAAATAGATACAGCCAACAGAAAAGCGATTAATCCTGCAACTTTAGATTGTAGCTGAGCCATATGCATGACTGTGTAATAGTTAACTGTATTATTAACTATGACTAATCAAAGGTATTTCAAAATTTTGCAATCCTCACTCTTCGATATAGTTACAGCTATACATTGAAAGTTGAAACATGGCGGGATGATCAATTATTGACCCGCTCATGTGAGATTCACATAACACGTCTCGCTTGCTCTTTCCTGATCCCTCAAGATGTCAAAAGATGACAGTGAATCAGTTCATGGAGGCAATAATTGGGTAATGGACAAGGAAAGCTGGGCCCTGAGATCGTTAAAGCTCTTATTGGCATTACGAAGAGTCTGAATATGTGGTTCAGCTTCTTCTACTGGTAGTATCCTAGCAAAGCTTCCCTCTTCGAGATAGTCCACCACTCGATTGGCAGCTTCTAGTCCCGTCACATAAGATTTTTCCTATCAAACCAAAATTATATTACTTAACAGGCACGAAGCTTCCCATCTTGTAATTAATGCAACCAATGAAAAGAAGATATCAAAGTTCAACCTGTGCCCATGAGCCGTGTCGATTAACAATCCAATCACCTGCCATGAACAAGTTTGGGAAAGAGGTAGACCCACGCAACGCGTTCTTGTATGAACCTATGAAAGAAATTGACACCAACAATAGGGGTTATTTAGACCACAAGAAAGAAATCAGAGAAAGGAATCATTGTAAACGAGCACAATCCCCAATGCAGGTGGGCTGGCTCTGACGCAAAATATTATAAGATAATATCGGCACAACAGAATGCATGTACAGCTGATACATAAGGGAGAGAAAATAACAGAATAATACCCACCACAATCATTAAAAGTATGGGTTTAATGCTTATCTAATTACATACACAGATACAGAATATAAGATCTTGTTGTCAAGTTGGTTGCAGCTCTACCATGTACCACAAATCTTAATACCTCAAACAAACGCTAATAGCATAATATGACGTTAACTGATGGCCCCAATGCAATTATAGTCTATCATAGAATCCAACTTATATATCTTGATGAATATGGTTGGACGGACTATATGCAAGTTTGATCAACCGAATGTGAAATCCACCCATTCAAAACAAGCGCGCGCGCGCACAAAAATTAATTACGTTGTACCTGGGAAGAAGTGGGTCAAAGATTTGGGATATCTACCAATCTCTTTATCAACCACTTTAGCATTCTCAAACTCTTTAATATACTTGGAGAGGTAAGACTTCAATTTCACAACCATCTGCTCATCCTTCAGTGGCAACAACTCATTTGCATAATACTACCACGATCAATCATGGCATGTAATTAGATCGGCAGTAGAATATCCACACATAGGAGTTGATCATCATGCTTGAAGTAGAACCATTAGCTAATATAACATCAGATGAGCATAACAGAACTGAACACTAACAAAGTCAGCTTGCAAAACTGTCATAGAATCGCTTTGATGCTCATCTTGAATGACATTCAAGTCAAAGAATGTCCATGCAAATGAGTTGTCAAACCCAGAACAAGCATTGGTGGCAGCCGGAATCTTCACCTGGTAAACAAGGATTTGATAACAAATATCAAGGCCATAGTGGCCAACAAACCAATTTCATACACTGCCAAAAGCCACAAATGATAGTTGAACAGACAACAACACAAATGCAAGATACATCATCATTTATTGTGAGTCGTGCACCAATTCTACATTGAAAAAAATAGGGAAATACATGTCTGGTTCCTCTAGGAAGATTGACAATGTTTTGAGGCGTATTCTGATTAGTGCATGATATAAAAGTAGTAAAAATGAAAAGGTTTTATTTTTCCAAACCTTCTGGTCAAGCCAAAGTTTAACACTGAGAACATCAACGCTTCCCAAGTTTAGAACCTTCAGAAAGTCCTCCCTTGAACATAATGTTGGACTAAAGAAAAAGCAGTAGGCAATTAAAAACGGCAGGAAGAAAATTAGTAAGTGGGTTTACTTCTATGAGATGCTAAAAGCAAAACACAGAAAAAATTGAATCCACTTTTTTAAGTTAATCTAAACAGGTTAAAAACAAGCATGGATTCGAAGCCTTTATGACATAATATCAAAAAACCAAAAATTGCTATATAGAATTAAAAAGCTTGGAACTAAATGCAAGATTAGTGTATAAATATAGATAAAATTATTAGGAGCTACCAAATTCAGAAATACCATACCTTTTATTTATAATCTCTTGCAAAGTAGATATTGCCACTGCCATGATCACTGCATCAGCTTTGTAGGTCACCCCACCACAAACTACCTCTGACACACAACCTGTTTCCTCATTGAAGATTAAATCTGTCACTCTACTATTTTCCACAAATTTACAGCCCTTAGCTCTTAGGGAATCCATCCATGGCTCAAAAATCTTTTCTTTTACAGCTCCACGAGGCCATGCTATATCAAAATCTTTCTGGATCCATGAAGCAGGTAAACTTATTCAGGCATTCTTATAAAGTACATGTGAGGGTAGATAATAGTAAAACGTGTACAATGGCAATCTGAGCTGAATAATGAATTATTTTGGGACAATAGAAATTGAATATATTATGCTTAAAATGTACTCATTGCACGGTCAAATTACAAGTGTGCTCTCTTGGTGTTGTTTTACATTATTAGCAACTCATAGGCTCCTCAAACAAATGATTCATCGTGAATATAATTTTTTTTATGAACCATGCTTCAAAGCTAGTCTCAAAAGTTATGAAAGATACAAAAGGGAAACCTTTCCTATATCTTGACCTTTCTTTTTAGTTGCTTTCTATTCTTTTTCTGTCCCTTTTTTAAACATATTTTCTAACATTTTTTGGATGTCTTTGCTGCTCCAATCTCCACTAGGAGAGTAAGATTTGTCACATTTCATGATATATTGCCAGGGAATAACCCCAGTATCAAATTGCAATTACAAACCTGGCTAGCAAGGACAATAAAATTTAGCAGTCCCAGTGTTGCAGCAGCACTACATTGCTCTGCTGGAGCAAACAAGCCCACATGAACCAACGGCCCTAGTATATCCTGATAAAGCCTCTCTGAGCAGCCAAACTGTTTGAAAAGCTCCCTTGCAGTAACTACCAATTGAATATCCAAATGAATCAAGTGACAAATTCGATGATTGTTTTGAATGTGGGGAAAAAAAAAGAAGCTTACTTGAATCATATTTCCTCCAGGCTGTGTCAGTGTTGTCAAAGTCAATCACTGGAATGAGGATGTTTTGTCAGTGAATTTTCAAGTATAATGAAGTAATACTTGGAAATATGTACTTGATGAAGAAATTCCGTTCTGTTTATTGACAAAAACAATTATGAGTTGGGAAGCAGGCTGAGCATAAACATAGGCATGTTAAGGAAAGGGGAATGAAGAAGTAGATTGAGCATAAACAAAGGCATATTAAGGAAAGGGAAGTGAACTGTAAAAGTCAATCAAGTAAATAAACCCATAGTAACGATTTTTGTTAATTAAATCATAACCATACAAATGGAAAGTTAAAAAAACGTCAACATAAGTTTCATCTACTCAAGCAGAAGCAAAGATAAAATGGCAATGCTTAATATTTGGTATATCTCTCAGGCATCCTCCTCCCCCATAGCTCAGAAGAATTGGAAAACAGGTACTAGTACAACAGCATATGTCTGTGCATAAAAATGAGTCCTCCAATGAAACTCGAGTGCTTTCATTAAATAACAAGTTAAAGTTGGAATTATAATATAGAGTTTAATTGGTTTTACATAAAAGCTAGGTTGTTGTAGTTATTAATTTTTCATAAAAAGTGCACACGTGTCATGAACAGTACCACTTATTCTTCATACTCTATGCAATGCACGGGGACAATGTCTAATTTGAAGAAAAGATGGTGATGAGCAAATTGTCTTACATCCTAAGCTACCATTCATAACAATCCTACACGATGAGGATGTCATGTAATAAATAAATCAAGAGGGAGTTAGTCAAGGGGCAAGCAATAGTCAAAATTAATTAGTTCATTAGGGTCAATTAGGCCATAAATAGATGGGTTGGGTTGGGTTGGGTTGGGTTGGGTTGTAAAGAGGCTTTTGGAAAAATGAAGAGTTGAGGAATTGAGCATTCTATTTCCCTACTTTCTCTCTCTCATCAATCTATCTCTCTCCTCTCTATTTCCCTTTGTTTCTTCTCTTTTCCTTCTCTCTCTCTCTCTCTCGGCCCCCTACCTTTCTCATGCAACAATGGTATCACCCATTGCCAATATGATAGTAACATGGGTAATGACTTAGGAGGTCATTGGCTTTTAGAAGTTCATATCTATATGGAATTACCCAAATATGCAGGAGGGCATAAATCCCTAGCCATTTCACTTTTCTTTTTTCAAATTCCAATATCGCGGGTCAAAGGAAAGATACTTCATGTATAATATACCTGCAGCCACTAAAGGTAGAAATGTCAACCTATCCAACAAAGGAATCCGAAAGAACTGCAAATAAAATAATGAACATATGAGGATTCAACCCTAAGAAATGAGACATGAGGCTGAAAAGAAGCTGCATACTCGGCTGTAGTATAAGGTTCCCAATGGAGTAGGCAATTGAGGCAAATCTTGAAATATTGGAAACTCTACCTGCAAGTAGATGCAGTTTCTCTCAAGTCATATGAAGACAATTAACCAACAGAAACAGAGAAGGAGAGTAGAAAGTTTCGTTTTTTAGCATATTAAAGCGCTGGATAACGCTTATCACCAAAAAAATGATGGCATATAGCATCCTCGTTACCTCCAGTCCCTCTTCAGAATATTGTGCAGATTTTGTCCAATTGGTGAAAGGCTTCATGCCCAACTCATCAACAAGGCTAAATATGTTTTGAAAGGCACGATAATAACCTAGGAGAAAATAAATAAACAAATAAATTGCATTGCAGTAACTATCTAAATCATGATAACCATAAAGTGAAACAACTCCAAAATAAGCCTTGATCAATGATCTTTTAAGAAGGGAAACGAGCGTTCAATCGTTAAATACAGAGGAACAATTCACTGTCCTCTGTCCTAAAATGAATATTCAATTTCAGCTTCGTCGCCATCCCTTCCAAAATGTAGATAGTAAATAATTCGTGAAGTACCGGCAAAAACCGTTATAAACTGCTCAATTTAGTCACCAATTGTGCAGAACAAGATACCGAAATAACTTAAATTTGGCCTTTTGATTTTTCTTCTAGAACATGCAAGAAGAAGAATTACCCCGGCTCGCTGTAGTGTCAGGATAGCCGAAACCGTAGTCGCCTTCAAGAACGGTGACGTCGAAACCCTGAAATAGAATCCAATACGACGATTGAAGAAACCAAGAAGCAAGTTAAAGGACATCAAGAAAACTGAGGAAATGAAAAAAGATGAAAAGACCTGATTACAGAGGTGATGAGCAGCTCCAATGCCAGCCCAGCCAGAGCCGACGATTACTGCTTTTCTTTTGCCACTGTATCCTCCAATGGAAGAGCCTTGTGAAGTTTCAGTTCCACAACGAAACAATCTTGGGTTCCTCCTAGCGTTTGGTAAGCACGGTGGGAAAGCGATCCTCCCGCAAGCAAGCATGATCCGACTACTATGGGCAACGACTTTCAACGACTGGTTATGATAAGCCGAGAAGACACAGAAAATTAACAAGGTAATCAGCAGCTAAAATGATAGCAACCTGTGGTTATCAGTCGATGCCATTAACAGCACACTAGTATACCATAGAATTCGTCTACAAAAAAATAAAGGGTTTTTTTTTTTTGCAGGCAATTTTGCGCAAATACCGGACCAGACCGGGCTCGCATTCAACCCGAGGTCCGGTCTGAAAATTCTTCGGGCTAAACTTTGCAGTCTGAAGTCTGGTTTGGCCCGAAGCGAACCCGGTGTTAGACCGGGTTGCGATACCAGTCTGCCAGACCATCCTGTTTCTTTTTTCCCTTTCCGTGATTGATAAACAGGCAAATGAGAAGATGGAAAAGCATTCCGTTCAGGGATAGTAATATATTCAATCAAACAAGAACACAGCAAAAAATGAAAAAAAAAATAACAAAATAATTATCAACATCATGTTTCAAAAGAATGGGAGAGAAACTTCAAAAAGCTAACGTTTTTCACAATAACAAACCCACAAAGTATGCATAGCAATATAGGAGGAAGAAGCATTCAACGCAAATAATGGAGGAGGAAGAAGAACAGGTCGATGGCGAGAAGAACAACGCACATCGATGACAAGAAAGCATAAGAACAAAATAGCAGCCTTCTCACCAGCAGGGAAAGCAAACGGACTTTCATTTTGTGAACATGTCTGAGCCTGACCATCAGCCGATCTGGACGATGAAGGTCCCATTATTGTCTCTCGACTATTCCGTACTCTCTTCCTCATCGTGGCTCTCTTTTTCAGATCTTCATGTCCGTCTTGCGAAGGAGAGTGAGAGGACGAAATTTCGATGGAGAAGTTGAGAGGAAGGCCACTAGGCCACCGAAGACTTGAAACGGAAAAGTGAGGATGATCGTCGGCTGCCGAAAGTGAAAAGGAAAAGTGACTGAGAGGATGACGCTTCAGCGATTTGGCGGATGACTGAATGGGCCGCTGGGGCATTGGATTATTGGGGACCAGTCCAACCTTGAAATATTTTTCTACCTTCTATAAAAAAAAAGAGAGAACCGGGTCAGACCAGACCGATTGGTCTGAAGAGGCAACCTGGAACCTGGTCTGACCCGGATGATCAACCCCGTCTGATCTGGTCTTTTTCTTGTTCGGGCTGTTTTGTTGGGGTTTGGAGTAGACCGGGTTGTGTCGGACCAGTCCGGACTGAGTGGGTTACTAGATTTTTTGCACAGCCCTTGTTGGCTTGTCCACCGCCATTCGTCGCACTGGTTAAGTTTCGTCCTGTAGTCGCCAACTATTTACGCCGTCGTTTCTCTAGCTTTTGTGTGACAGTGTCAGTGTATACGTATTATCTTTGTAGGGGTCGTTACTGCAATCGAATTTACAACTTGACTTGCGAATGTCTATCTATCCAATCGGACATGAGGAGAAGTTTTTTTGGGGAAAAAAAATGGTAAAAGGGAAAAAAAGTTGAGTATGACCTTGGTCCTCGTCTCCTAGATATTTTGCGTCGACGGACCTCCTCAGATGAGAAATTGCTACTCTAGTTTCACACGCAATGGTTAGATACGGTTTCAAGTTACATCAAAACATGGCGCTTTATGCTGTTACTTACCGTTAAAATTACCCGTTTCCCTCTGTCGCTCCAGCTTTTTGTTTTTCTCTTAGAGATGGCCGCCACTCGCTCCGCTCACCCCGACTGTCTTTCGCCCGGCTCGGCCTTCATTAGACCGCCGGGTCGAGTACTCGATGCAGCTCCGATCGGAAAGCCTATTGTGAAGGAACCCTGGCGCGGCGCGCTGTTACACTCTAAGCGTACATTGTCGAGGACTGTCTCGCCGGTTCAAGCCTGCTCGGGAGCCGACGACTCGGTACCGTCGGAGATGTCCGTAGAAAACGCACTGAAGCTTCTCGGAGTCTCTGAGGGAGCTTCCTTCAACGACATACTCCGCGCCAAGAAATCGATCCTCGCCACTATTAAGGACGACCAGGAAGCGGTTGCCCAGGTTTACTTATCCTGCTCTTCGCACTCCACACTTTCTTTAATTTCAGAGAATTAGAACTTAATCTGGATGTCATTCATATTCTTAATTGTTGATGATGGCCCCTCATCTGCGTTCAGACGTTTGCCTTCAGTTAAACCCCTCATCTGCGTTAAAGTTATTTACTTTTTAAGAGTAATAGTCTGAAAACAGAACTTGCATTGAGGGGTGCCCGTACAGGACGGTAAGATTTTTATTTATCGGTCTTGCTTTGCGCTGGTCTTGCTTCTCAGTAAATCCGGGATTAGGAGCTTCAAATTGAATTTTGGTTCTGGGATGGGTTAGCGGTCTGTCATTCTAGTTGATTTCGAGTTCTCTGATTCTAGATACAAGGGAATTAGAAGTCTCGGTGCTCCATGTTGACTTATCTTCCAAAGTGATCTTGTTCAATCATTGTATGTTACACTTCAAATTCTACTGGACGGTGGACAGGATACGGCATGTTTTTTTTAATAAAACTGGCATATGCCCGTGCATAGCACGGGTGATAAATTAATTAACAAAATGTTTGTAAAATAATATTAGTTAATTATATATATATATATATATATATGTATGTATATTTGCGTGTGCATCCCGTGTATATAGGTAGTTAGATATAGATATGGTAGAATGTTCTAAATAACTAACTTCATCTGAAAAAAGATCATGGAGTTAAGAAGTTATTAGACCATGGGATATGAAGATATCACAATGAAGAAATAAAAATAAATTATATTCATTAATTATAAATAACTTTGTAAATAGAATCCTATGCGACTTCACATACAGGCTAAACCATGGAAGATGAAAAGATATTTATGTACTAAACAATGAAAATGACCATATAAAATTTTCCCTAATCACTTGAAGTAATGTTAGGAGATGAAAAAAACACTTCAAAACTTATGAGAATTAAATCAAAACAATGTGTAAGAGAATATGCACCCAAAAATTAAGTTAAATTCATATCTAAATTTACTTTTTTTGCTTGAGACAACTTCCCTATACAATATGAAGTGTTGTTGTCATGCAATGCTAGGGGCAATAGTATTTTAATTTTCAAAGGAAAACATCAAAAATCTAAAGTAAAAATTAATAACCGTATCTTACTCTCAGACATATTTCATGATTCCAATATTAAAGATAAACAAATAATATTATTGAGATGGATCAAATGTGAAAACTATCCATCATTAGTTTTGAAAGTAAAGATCTTGAATAACATGCTTTGATTTATTGTCTTTTTGCCATTGAATATCTAGGTTGAAAAACATTATAAATTATACATTATAGCATAAAAAGAGAGAGAAATGAGATTTGGACAAGGCTTGGAATTCATAGTAAGTAATTGGAATTAAAAACAACAATGGCAAATATAAGATAAGAAACTCAAACCTGAATGTTCAAATGATAACACAAAAACCTCTTTGAGAAAACCAAGTCCCCGACATTTGAGAGGTTTCATCATATGCATTAGTTTCTAATTACAATCGAAATCAACAAATTTAGGGTAACAGATTTCTAAATCATAAAATTATGTTCCTTCTAACAAGTTACCTGTTGGAAGTAACCCACTAATAGAATATTACCTCTCTTCTTTTATGATTTGTTCATTGTTTTTTCCCTTTTGGATTCTCAATAAACATGGACTTCCTTCCCACATATGCATTGACAGAAAAGTAGACAAATGCTTGCAACTTCCCATCACCTTTGTTCATGGATTTGTGCATTTAGAGGTATAAATGACAGTTATTCACTCAACTCTTTAGCAAGGAGGAGCTACAAAGGCACAAATTAGACCAAATTCTCCATGTTCTGCATAAAATACATGTATAAAATAAAACAAAGATAGTTGAGAAGTCGGGAGGCTGTTATGCTTGAAATTCTTATAAGTGGAACCCCATGTTTCATAATTAAATTAAGAATTAAAATTAATTTCCTAAATGGGATTAAGGTGTGGGGGTGGCTTTTATGTTTAAATTTTTTTTAAGATTTCTAAAATTTAAATTTAAATTGTGAATTAATTGAGAAGTTATGTTAATGGATAAGATCATAGAAATGGTGAGAATATTTATTTTTTTTGAAAAAAATAGTGAGAATATTTAGAGATAAGGAAAAGTTGATCATGGCAGTTTTCATATTATAAATTTAAAAATTAAATCATCAATATATCTAAATTATAAATAACATATTCAAATTGAACGTTTAAATTATAATTAAGAATTTAAGTAAATTTTACAAATAGGATATGGAGTGGGGAATTTATGATACTAAAAAATTTTCAAAGGTTTTTAAAATTAACATTAAAAACTGAGTTAGTTGAGTAGTTATGGTTGAAAATTGATATGATGGAAGAGAATGTTTTGGAATAAGGAAAAGCAGATTTTGTTAGTTTTAGAGATGATGTAGATAATTTTTTTAAAAAAAATATTTTTGGAAATTAATAATGACGTGGGTAGCCTAAAATTGCATTATTTTGAAAAATGCTTACGTGTCAGGCTTGGAGGAGTAATTGTTATTTTTCTATTATATATATTATATATATAGATAGATATAGATGTCGCTCAAAAATCCGTGCAGAGAAAGCAAGAAACTAAGATATAACAGATAGCAAAGGCTAGCTGCACCCTATAAGACGGCTGCTAAGGTTCCTGACAATATTATCTCCGTGGTGGGTTCGGCGAACAAGTCGGTCTACATTTTTTGTTTACCTCCCTAAAGACGTAGTTCAAGGTGACTGTCCAGTTTGGCATGATTAAGTTCTTTAATTCTTCTGATGATACTCATCAGAGGCTGATGCAGAGCATGTTCCTGTCGGATGAGATTAATAGCCTCCACGGAATCTCTATGTATGTTTAACTTCAATGAATTTCTCATGCCAACAAAGGTCCTGTAGTGGACACAGCATATTCTGTTGTGTTGACATATCCGTGTCATGCCGAGTTATGTCTTGTATCGTGTCAGCATCTGAACTTCTTGTTAGACATGATGCTTCTTTTTTTCTTTTCGTAACGTTAAATGTTTGGCTTAGACTGGAAACTGAAGAATAATCATTGGACGCGTGGTGAAATATGCATTATTCTTATGATCATCTACATTTAATGTTTTTAAATGTCGCAAATAATATTTTCAGAGTGATTGATTTTTTAATGGAGATGTCTATTTGGCTAGGTTGGTGAATCAAGCTGGCCAACAGTTCATTGTCATCTCATGTTCCAATATTTGCTTTACTACTTTTGAATTTTAGGGAAACTCCGTTCCCTTGTTGATTGATGGGATTTCTTCTTGTTTTCTGTTTCTTTTAGATCGAGGCTGCATATGACATGTTACTTATGCAGAGCCTAACTAAGCGGCGAGCGGGAAAAGTAGTGGATAGTAAAATTCGTTATGCTGATGCCAAACCTGTGAAGCCCTCTGGTTTGGGCTCAATGCCTCCATGGTTCCAAACTACAATGAAGAATTCCCCAGTTTCGATAGAGACTCCCTCAACTAGTAATTTAGGTGTACAAGCTGGTGTGTATGGTGCTTTGATGGGTTTAACCTATATTATTGATGCTTCTACACCCGCTTCATCATATTCTGCAGTAGACGTTCCTGGACTCATCTTGGCTGGTAGTTTTGGAGCTTCCTTGTACTTTATGACCAAAAAGAATGTTAAGTTGGGTAAGGGGCTTTCTCGTGCATATTTTACACTTGTTCTGTGTTCAAGTGAATCGATATGTGTTGAATGTTTAATTTTAAATAGGTCATTTTAACAACTCACAGATCTTACATGATATGCATATACTAAAATAAATAGGGGCCTCTTTGTTCAGTAAGTTGTTTGTGTTGACTTCGACATGCCAAAGCTTAAACTCACTGAAGCGTGTCCCGACTTACACCTGAGTTGAATAGATTGTTTAATGTTCTATCCTCCCTCTGCTTTGCACTCAGGAAGTTTAAATGCAAATTCTACAAGGGTTTTCTGCGTGTAACTCTTGCAGGGAAGGCCACTGTTATAACCATAGGAGGGCTAATATCAGGTGCAGCAGTGGGGTCGGCTGTAGAGAGCTTGTTGCATGTAGATGTTATACCATTTCTAGGCATACACTCCCCTGCTACTGTTGTAAGTGAAATCATTGTTTTGTCTCAATTCTTGGTTTCCCTGTACCTAAGGTAGACACGGAGAACACGATGTTCATATATTGAAATGTGATTCATCCTTTCCTTTTCTTAAGAATCATTGTCTGTCTTTCAAAACTCTGAACAGTGTGTTAGCTAATCTTGGATATAGTGCCAAAGGGCGAAGACACATTGTGAATCATTGATGGAGACAGATTTAAATCTAGGATTTTTTCTTATATTTCATGAAGAATATTTTGATCTTTTCACGTATCCGAAAAAAATTATTTAAGAGTTACCTCCATTTTTGGAACACATCAAGCATAGTTTTGAAACCTACTCCCATTCGTCTTACTCCAACGAGAGCATTAAAATCATCAAGTCCTTTGTCACAAAGTGCCATATATCGTCAAGCTTCTTCAGCAATAGTTACAATTAAATATTTAAATAAAAAAAATGATAAATCGTTAAGAGGCTAAGCTTGGCGCAAACACAACTCATATAACGGTCATGGGAAGATCCCCGTTGTTCTTTCATTTTGTCAGAAGGCCTAACATAACAGGCATTACTATTCTAGTAAGCTACAGTTTCGCATTTAAAAAATTGAAGTGCTGCTTCTCTCATTGCTATTTGAAGACACCTGGTATTCACACAAGATAAAGATACAACAAGACACATAAGATACAACTTAAATCAGGTACCACCAGCCTCTGCTGGTGTCGTGCAAGGTGCCAGTGTGTTTGGAGGCAGGTTGATGCCACCACCTCTAACAGATACACTATTAAACTTCGCAGAGCTTGCCCTACTCACGAGATTCGAGTCAAGGAACACAACAATCACAGTTATATCATCATGGAAATGTCGACGAACCCCACGATCAATCTTCTTTAGGTCTGAATATCTCATTTCTCTCTTCTTTGCTGCTTCTTGGAGGGCGACTTTCACCAGTTTCCTTGCACTTCCCTGAAAGAGAGACAGCAGATTCAGCATAAATCCATTTTGTACCATGTTTACTGCCTGAGATGCATCAGCAGCTCATATCAATCACATAAATTATTTGAAGTGTTAAAAACATACATAAAAGGGCTGTCAATCTGATTAGAAATCAAGTAATATGAGCATATCAGTATTGTCTGAAGTCAAATGCCAATAAAGTAATTACTTGTTTTGCTAGATCTAACCAGGTAAGAGTTTACATTACTGAATAGACCAATGGGATTTTTTCATGAAGACGATTGGATGCAGCTTTTCAGGGCAGAATCAAAGAATAAAAACTTTTAACCTAAACATAGAAAGACCATAAAATCTCAAGAAAGATTTCCATCTTCTTCTTGCAAAATGAAATCCCCTTCACCCTGGAATTTGTCATCCAGAATCATTCTCGGAACTAGGAGACATTATCTAAGTATTTGCTTAATGGGATGCCTGGTGGGTATGAGTCCACTAATTAATAAAATTCCGTTTCCATTTGAAGCAGATTAACAACTTGAACCATTCCCATTTCTATATGTGCAAATGTAACATGCCCAGACAATGTAGGGTGGGCACACCAAAAATATTTCTGGACAAATAAAGGCCGACCATTCAATTTCCTTCCCTAAAGACTGGCAACTTAGTGGTGAATATGCATGTGCCCTCATCTCACTGGACATTTCACGTTATAGTAAAAAGTAAACAATAAGCGAATATCAAAAAGAAAAAAGAAAACAATAAGCCTATCATCATAACCCCCCCCCCCACAAGAAAAAGGCAAAATTCTTCCAAATAGGCCATGAAACATGCAACAGACCACAATAAATGAATGATCCACTGAACAGAGAAAAACCAACCATCATACGATGTCACGCAAATACATGCCAATTTCAATGGAAAACAAGGTGCTCAGGAATCAGGACAAACAGGAGGGGGGGTGGGGTTTACAGTATTGCATAACCAAGACTCTTCCGCCTGATCTTACTCAGATTGAAATGTGATTCTTACACTACGAGGATTATTTTGAACTATATCAACTGCATCTTGATTGCTAAGGTGCTCCCAGAGCCCGTCAGATGCAAATATAATAAATTGATCGTGAGGCTGCAATTGGTACACTGATATTGATGGTTCTGAGCTTAGTATAGGCCTCTTGAATGGCTCCCTAAGTCGAAACTTGGCATATAGTGGTTCTCTATTGAACTCAGCCTTTTTCAAATAGACATCACCAATAGATCTTGAAACCTGCAAGGTTTAAAGATTTTAGATGTTAAGAAGTAATGCAACACACACACGCGTGCGCCTGCAGACCAGGATGCTTCGACTGAAACCAATCTAATGCTCGTGAATTTTGTCAATTTGCAACAGCAGTTCAAAAGTACAACTAAAACTGCTTGTTCCATTCTTATTGGATCAGAAAGGGCAAGAGTTCAAATGCTGGAATGCCCTGGATGAAGCGCAGGGAAACAATATAATAATTTTATTCAGTAGGACTCTTGTAAGCATGAACAATAATCAAAGTATGACATAAATCTAATGAACTGTGGTTGTTAAAATGATGAAGATAATCATTATCCGTATGGACCATGATAAGGACCGGACATGATATGAGTCCAGGTTGAAGTTTCAAGGGGGAAAAAAAAACTAAACGAAACTAAACGAAAGACGCAAAAAAGATTGATAACAAAATTTTAAAGAACATTATATGACGTATCTCAATACGTGGGTTTTACCAATTAAAATCAAGTTCTTTTCCAAATATACACTACAAGAGAGAAGGTACTAAAGTTCCTTTTTTGCTTTAAATTTTAATGTTTAATATTTTTTTTAATATAAAATTGAATTGTAGTTACTTTTTTACATATTAAAAATGATTAGAAGAATTAGTGGGAAATTATTTAACCTCCCACTCTCCTAAATAAATTTTAACTTATTTTTCTTATATTATGTATTTTATCAATGTGGAGCATGACTTTGGGACAAAAAAAAAAAAAGGCCCCAAAGACATGTATGTATTGATTTCAATAAAAATGTCCAAGCAAAATTATATGTAGGTTAGGTAGGTTAGGTGATACTAGTACTTCTGCTCATATAATTTCAACAGTGTAGGAATGAGCTGCCACTGATAATGCGTATTTAGAAGTGCCTCATGCAGCAAAAGCAGATGATTAATTAGCTCTAGACACAAGAAAACCATTATTATGACCTACAAATGACTTACTTGTATAAGGCCCTTTACACGCCATACATTATGCTTTAAAACAACAATCTGTGAGTCATCAGGGTGCAAAGAATGCAGTTCCTGTCTTACAGACTCTATCCCCACATTGTGCTCTGCTGACAATTGCACAGCCAGTACATCCCCAGTTGCCTTGACCGCTCTTCCCAAAACAGCCCTAGAATCACCAAGATTAGCTACATAAAGGGTTCCATTACAAATAACACCAACAAGACAGCATGACCCAACAGCTGCAATTTGTGGTTTCATTGGCCACTGTCGGGCAACAAGAGACATAAATCCCTCTTCTGTTGCTTGAAATGCCTTACGAATTACATCTACTGACATTGATTGCTGCTCTGAAGCAAACCCTGCAATTAAAAGATGGGAAATTTATTTTTTGATCAACAAACATATGGAAGAACAGTCAAAATTTAGCTCAAATCCACAGACGAATGCCATATGAACTCCTCAAGTATCATTCACAATTCCCCACGGCCTCAATTCAATGCCTCTCACTTTTCATTTTTCATACTTTTCAGCAATATTGTATGGCTGATAGAACTTTGATGGTTAAGCTGGGTCAGAAAAAAGATTAAAACAAATTTTCAAAAAGTAAAAACAATTGCTACTTCTGACATCATTTTGGTGGTTTCACTAAGGTAACCACAAAATAGAAATCAAAACAAGCACAGAATACATAACTTTCTGTTCTCATCAAAAAAAGAAGATACTCAAAACAGAAAACAAACAACTTTTCATTAACTTGGTTCCACTGGGACAACAAGCTATTGTCTCGGGCAGCAAATAGACAATTTTTGTTGTAGAAACATTGTAACTCAACAAGGTATAGATTTCACCATATCGAAATGGACTATATGGTTACTTTTCTTCCCTTGAACATATCATATAAATCAGACAGTATCCTTCCTATGTACTTTGTCAAGTCAAAAGCAATCATAGACTACAGTAACAAAAAAATTTGAAAAGGAAGGCCGCGAGAAATACAATAAAGTGACAATTGTAGACCATAACAAAAATAAAAGCTTCAAGAATTCAGTCCTCTAGATGTCACTTACTCTTAAGATGATGAAACAAGTTATCATTAATAAACCGTGATGTCTCAGGGCCCCCATGCCCATCATAAACACCAACAAAGGTACCATAAGGACCAGACTCACTGGAGCCCAAACTGCCCGATTCAATCTGGCTCTGATCCTCCAGCAGGTTATTGGCTTGGACCACAGCCAATGAAAATTCACCGCTCAAGTGCTGCCCCGAGTCTTTGTACCACAACAATCCATCTAGTCGACCTCCGGCATCTGAACCTGTACGTGCATTTTGATCCGAACTTGGCCACAAGCAGGCCCGCAGAAAGTTCATTAACTGTGATAACATCCCTCATCTCACCAGACAACCGTCCAGAATTTCCTCATCTATCAACGGCCCCAAAACTTCCTTACCCCAGAATTTTCAGTCACGATTAGAGCAGTCCTGAATTCCTCGCCACGAGAACGATTCACTATCAACAACGAAAAAGGGCGGAGAAACCATTATGATTCACAAACCCCAGTCGTAAAGCAGAAAGGCCCTTGACAAGGGCTAATTAGGATTGTATGCGATAAATCACATTCAGAAGCAGATAATAGCTTCCCTGGGCCCGTAAATGCCCATAATAAGCACGAGGCAAACCCTAAGGACGAAACTATCAACACAGGAAGGAATTAATAAAGGAAAAAAAATCATCGCAAAAGAAGAAGTCAAACCCGTTTGTTCTCAGAGTCAGGTTCTCCCTCTCTCTCTCTCTCTCTCTCTCTCTCTCTCTCCCTCCCTCTCTCTCTCTCTAGGTGAAACTCTAGCTTTTCAATCATCCAAGTGTTCACATTAACATTGGAAAAAAGAATCCCCAAGTTACACTGATCTCAACAAGAGCCAATAATTGACGGCAATCACTACCTGTAAAAATTGTGGAGAGAGATCTTACCAAAACCAGACGAATTGACAATAGATGGTGAGATATCGAATGGCCCGGTTGGAAAGGAGAAAGTCAGCCGAAAATGGAAGCATTAGATCTGTGGATCCATCAATATAAAGAGGAGAGAATAGAAGTGGGATTATAGTTAATTTCGCCCCCTCTCTATCTCAGCTAGTATTGAAGAAGCAGAGGGTGCGTGGATGCAATCAAAAGGGAGAACTGTTGTGAAGGATTTGACCAAGCAAAAGGCTCGCTTTTTTTTTCCCCTCTTCTCATGGGACCAAGGCCCATAAAAGAGCAACGAGGGAGAGATTGAAGACAGCAAAGCAAAGTTTCAGCACTGGGCTCCACACCACCATGCTAGAGAGTGACGAGAAGATGAGAGTTAATCAACTCCTCTTCGAGGACGATAAGGGATTAAGGGGTTTCGTAATATTATGGGCGTTCCTTTCCGTGAATGGGGTTCATATGAGAACACGTGGAATTTATGGTTTTACTGCAAAATAAAAGGTGAGAGACCTATTATTTCCTTTAAAAAAAACTCGGTTGGGTTGAATTATGAACCAGCGCAAACATCATAGTTTCAAATTCAAAGTGCTTATTGACGGAGCCTCAACGTAAAAACCAGGGCGAACATGACTTGAATACCCCTGTATAATTTGAAACTACAATTATATCTTCTACAACTTCAGAATAAAAGTTGTAATCAGAGTTTCTTTGAGAGGGAAATACTATTTTAACTTGACAGATTATAGTATCGAATTTTGTAACTTCAACCAGTGACGGATCGGGAGCATGAGTTCGGGGGGCCAAAATGAAAAAATTCATGGAAGTGGGGAGGCCAAAATTAGATTTTTTTTTTTTTCCAAGCCAAGAGTAAGAAAATTTAACAAAAAACTTTTCATAGGTACTTGGCCCCTTCAGATCTGTCCCTGACTTCAATTTGAATGACAAAATTTGCAACCGAAGTTCATATTATATTATGTCAAGTTGCAATTACCATATTGTCATTGGCCTGTCATGTGAATACCGAATACCACAGCAAAAAGAAGTTTATGACTAACACAGGACGAAATGGATGTAGTTTACAGATTGTAAACGTCTTCCTAGCTCCTCCTCATTGGTCACGCACTCCTCTTTAGCTGGATGCCAATCGTTACTGTCCTTTCTGTCTTTATTTGGCGTGACAAACTCCATGTAACCAATCCCTCCTAAGCCATAAAAAAAAAAAAATAATAAGAGTCATTCTTGATGGGTCATTTTCATATCCACCTCTAAGGTTAGTGAAGCTGCTTTAAATTTGTGTAAAAAAGCAGTTGCCCTCAAAGGATTTGGTTTCAGATTTTGAGTTTTGCATGGCGTTTGTGACAATTTTACAGCTTGCCCAAGGATCCAAGTGCCTCGAACTCAACAGCAAAGTGCTAATGCAAAACTGTGTTGACTTCAATATTTGTCACACAATAGGAAAACAAGTAGTATTTTACTTGCCAAAATGCTCGTATATACCCAGATATCCTTACAGTTTAGCCAATAAAATTTTATGCTGTGAGTATACTAAAGATTGAACATGGCAAAAAATAAAAAATAAACTACTGCATTTTAAAAAAAAAAATCAGTAAACAACCTTACAATTCGCATTTCACTGTTACATGAACAGTGAAAAAGCCATGCAATTTATGGAGGCCAAAATATTTTATGAAGTGGATAAAGAACTAGTTTACTTGTTTATTGGTTCTAGACGGATTGATTTAGATTTTTATATTTACTAAGATGTCAAATGCCCCACACTTGCAAGTGCTCAGCTTCCAATCAGTCTTTGGTCCGTCTAGGGAGGCAATTTCGTGGAGCACTGTCACTTCAATACCGAACACCCACTATGTATATAAAAATAATAACAAGATTGAGATAGGAAAGAAAACTAGGTGGGATGGAGGAGTGTGAGCGACCCGGAATTAAACCGTCCCCAGATGATGCATTTGTTGTTGGTTGATTGATGAGTAGTTAATTCGTTGGTGTTAATATCAACTTCATACGGAGTTTGGCAGAGTCAATTCAAAATTGGATTACTGAATACTATACTGCTTTTGGCTTTGGCGCTTCGGCCGTGGTCAAACAAATATTAGAAAGCTTTCCCTTACTCCTAATAACACTTTCAACGACGAGAAAGCCTTCCCCAGAAGAAGAATGTCCCCTTGATGAATGATTTATTTTATTTAAATTTAATAGTTTTGCCTGTCTTTACGCATGTTGTTGTTTTTAATCAATCCTTCCTTTATTTTTATTCATAAATTATTTTCATTAAAATTAAAAAAAATTAAACTCCATTAACTTTATTTAAAAATTTAATATGTTTTTAATTTCATTCTTATTAAATATACATATTTTAATATGAAATGCTATAACATTTAACAAACTTTTCAACATTAAATAAAAAAATAATAAATATAAATATAATAATCATTAAAAAATTTTATAAATAAAATTAAAATAAACACTTCCTCCTTGTTTAACAAATAAAAGAAGAGCAGTAAATTGGAACGCAATGCATGACAAGGGCGCTACGATGGCATGGCAGAGTGCAGGGCCCAGGTGCAGCAGATAAGGGACATGTCCCTTTGCCAACTTGTGAATACATGTTTATTTGTTCAATTAATTAATGTGTCAGGCAAAAACGGCCCAATCTGTTTTGAATTAATGTGCGTAGTGTGTAACCTAACCCTCCTAATAACTCAGTCCTCTACCTAAAATCTTGCGCCTCCATTGGTGGCGGAGAAAAGGTCCAGGCGAGTCACGGTCCTTTACTTTTCAAATTTGAATTATATATTTTTAACCTTTCAAAAATATTTAATACTAATAAAATTTAATTTTATCTAAATTTTAATAATTACTTATTCAAATGACAAGAGACTGAGATTGAAATTGGGATGGTCTTTAAAAAAAAAACCCCCCTTTTATAACAATCAAGCCATTGAAATTTCTTAAATGAATAGTGTGTGTAACATCCTGATTTTTATATAATAAAGAAATTGTGGAATTTAGGTTTTGAGGAAAAAAAATGATAATAATAGGAATTTATATTATTTGAGGTTATTTAGAAATAATATTATGATTAGGTATTTAATTATGAATTTAAAAATTTAAATTTAAAACCACATAAGCAATATTTGGTTAAGATATAATACATAAATAATTTTTTTTATGTATGTGTTGAAAAAAAAAAGAGAAGGTAGAAGGAACAAAAAAAAGGGGGGGTGGAAGGTTGTTGTTTCGAAGTCCCACATTGGTTAGATGAGGGAAGAGAAGAGGTGCCTTCATGTATAAAAAGGAGGGGGTGTGTGTATTAGGAAGTATAAGAGGCTAAAATGCAATTTAGAGGAAATTACAACTTTTGGCTCAAAGGTTTGAATAATTAAATTCAAACCTATAATTTTTTTAAATATAATTTTGGGACTCACAATCCCATTTTTATATTATTTTTCTCTCTTCCTCTCACGTTGCTCGGCGTTTTCTCGCAAGGGGGGATTATTTTCTTTTTCTTCAGGTATGTTCTAACTTTCCTATTTAGATTAGTATTTAAAAATTTATTTAATTACAAAATTAATTTTATATTTATTTTCTAAATAATATTAGCTTTCTAGTGATATGATTATTTTGTAGGATAGAGTAAATATTTTGATTAGGATTTTTCTATAGGATAGTTAATCTGATGATATGATGGATTAAAAATATAGATTAAAACTCTTAGGGATATAATAAATATTATAGAATATTTTCTTGAGGTTGAAACTCATGTTTAAGAATTTTTGAGATAAAATCTAGATCTATATGGTTGAATTTATGTGGAATCTGAGATGTAGGGATAAACCTATGATTATTAAATATTTATTTAAGTATGAATAGGTATTTTTGAGGTTATAGAAAGGTGATTTGAGGCTTCAGGATAATTTTAAAATTTAATTTATTTTTGGACGAATTTTTAAAATATAGAAGGATGAAATTGTGATACTAGAAGTGATTTGAGGATAAAAAAATAGTTTATTAGGGTACGAGAATTTTAGAAAAGAATTTGAAAAGTTAAATGAGGCATAAATCTTAAATTAGTGTTAATATGGATTATAGATCTAAGACTTTCTAACTATTTAAATTAGAGTTATTTATTTTAATGTAAAATTAATATATAGTATTGTGAAATAATTATGTAGATTATATTGACAAAGATAGTGGTGAAAAAGGAGTTGTGAAGGGGAACTTGTTATTCAAAACACAAGGTAACCACTATTAATGTGTTGTGATGGGTGTGTTTGTGAATGGTTATGTGTTGTTTTATTGTTTGAAAAAATTATGAATTATTGAAAATAAATACTGTATATACTTGTTTGAAATTATTGCCAAATGGGTTAAAAATTTATTTTTGTTTATCATGATGAGATATTATTGTTCGGATATATTCCTGTTTAGATATTTGAATGATGCATGACTTGTCAGGGTATTTTAATGTATGGTGTTAATGGGAATTTCTGTTCGGTTAATTATTACCACGTGGTAAGCCCTCATTGGACCCAATGAGTGGCGTGTCGCTTAGTTCAACTCACCTTTGACCGGGTGATTTGGCGTCCGAGTATGGTGAAAGGAGGATATAGGGTGCAGTCATGCAAATTAAATACTTGTTCGGTTTGTTTGAAAGTATTGTTCGGTTAAATGTTTTGTGTGCCCACTTAGCAATCGCATGATTAGTTACATCCGCATGCATCATTACATATTAATTTCTGGTTACTGGGACTTTTAAGTCTCATTCCCCGTGGTTAATATTTTTACAGGAAAGAGTCCGGCCGAGAAAGCACCAGAGGCGTAACTTTGGTGTATGAGACACCATCTTTTACGTTGCCTCTCATTTTGTATTATGTAATGTATCTTGTGCCAACCTAGGACATTTCTTATTTTGACAACATGTAAACTCTAATCCTTTTTATTAAATACAATTATATGTCCAAGAGGATTATGTCTGTTCCTTTTGATTTATGATCTGATTTGAATAACATGCTATGAGGATCATGTCTGTCCCTCATGGTTCTAATTACTTTTTGAGATATTTTAAGACCTGTGGTATATTGTCTTGAATGTATCATAGTAGAAATTTTTCTACCATGATAAGGGTTAAAAAAAAAAGGATTTGTTGAATTAATAACTTGCGAAAAATTAATCTGTAAATTTGAGAGTGTTACAGTGTGTTGCTTAGATATATTTTGGTCCCGTTGACATAGATTATATGATAATTAATTATTATTACTGTATTGATATATTTAATTTGTTATAGATAATCAATTGACATAATTAAATAATAAATCAAGGGCCTGTTTAATTTACCTAATTTTTACATTTAAAAAGGACCTTTAAAGATTTA